ACGCGCCTTATCGCACTTTGCACTTATGCTCGGCTGCGATAGACGACTTTAGCAGCTGCTACACCACCGACTATATATAATAATATATAATATCGTAAGGGTAGGTACATGTACGCGCCGTTGAAAACTCGATTTTATTAGCTTCTCGACGACCTCGTGTAAACTCGGGAGGGAAAACGTGGTTGCAGGTTTCCAACGATAAGAGAGAGAGAGAGAGAGAGAACGTCGCGCGTTTAAAGTAGTATAGTCCGGTTCTGGTCGAGCCGGGCCGAGTGCGGAGCATATAGCTGAATCGGCTTATACGATTCGATTGGCGAGCGTTAGGATTATTAGCGCGCATTGCATTGCACATACGGATGCAATATATAGTAATGTTATTTGGATATGTCATAGCATAAATCATGAACTCTGGCAATATTAAGCGTTTTCGAGTTGTCTTAATGAAAGCCGCATATTAGATTGCCGAGGAATAACCGAGATTATCGAGTTGATATATCCTCGGAATTACTCCGAGATTTAGATCGAATTTTCACACGTGACATCGTAAATTAGTAAGCGGAAAAAAATTTCGAAGAAAAAATTCAATTGTGACTATTGTAATCGTTTACGATAATCACGAGCAGTATAGAAAGTAACGAAGCTAACTCTCGTTATCAATCGAGCACTATACATCATTATTTAAGCGTAGTAGGATCGTATTAATTACCGTAAATCGATGGATCGTATATCGCTTAAAGAAAATACAGATACGGATAAAGTGTCATTTGATACTCTTTCCGGTGACCGGGAAACTTCATGGAGACTGCATGACTTGTAATTTTTAATTTCACTTCCATAGTAAAATATTCGTTAAGATTAGGCTCGAGGTCGAGTTCGAGTCGAATGAAAAACGAGTTAAAGAGATTTCAGTATACTCGCGCTTTTTTGATAGAGCATTTTAAACTTTTTCAATATGTTTTTTAATATTTATATAATTTATGACTTTTTTATAGATAACTTCGGTCTCGATAGGATATCATAGTAATGAACAATTAATTTCAAATCTTATTCATCATTATATTTATATGACTTTATTATCATCGTAATTTAGAGAAAAATTCTCTCGACAGATGCTTGCACATGTGCGTGGCGCAAGCCTCTTGGTACATCTCGTCTTGGAGCTTCCACAGCTTGTTCGCCCTCGCGAACTCCCGAAAGTTCTCGTAAGTCACCCTCTTGGCCACCTCCTTCTCCGGCAACAGTAACAGCTCGTACAGCGACAGCTCCTCGTTCACCCTGATCTCCTTGGCCTTGGCGACGAACTCGTCGTCGTCGTCGTCGTCCCACCATTTGTCCTCCAATTTCTCCTCCCTCTCCGTGGTGGCCAGCTCGTCGTCGGCGAACAGCCTCATGATCAACGGGGGGATCTCCGTCCAGGATCTGTCCACGGGTAGGCGGCGGGCGCCCGGCCCCATTCTCGCCTCGAGACGCTCCAAGCAGCACATGGCGTCCGCTGCGAGCCGCAGCTTGAAGTCGTAATTGTGGCGCCAGTCCTTGTGGCTGTGGTCGAAGTAGCTGCCCGGCGGGAAGAAGGTCGCGGGCAATTTTGCCCCTCGATCGAGCAGCAGATCGACGAGGTCGGGATCGGGATTGGCCACGGCCAGTTGGAGCGCGCAGTGGCCCAGACTGTGGCAGGCGTCGATATCTACCTGCTTTCCCAGCTCGTCGCACACCTCGAAGAACAGCTTGGCTATCTCGTGGGACTCGCCGCCGGATCCGCAGCAGCAGATTATGTGCAGCGGCGTCTCTCGTCTCGCGTTGGCCGCGTTCGGATCGGCGCCCCTCCTCAGCAGTACCTCGGTCGCCCTCTTCTTGTAGTAGCTCAGAGCGAAGTGGAGCGGTGCGTTGCCGTCCTTGCTGCCGGCCTCGAGCTGCACAGTTTTCCCGACCTCGTCCAAGACCCTGAAAAATACCTCGATCAATTCGACCTCGTCGTCTTGGTTCTTTTTCGCGTCGTCCCCTTGGCAGATCAAGTGCAGCGGCGTCATTCCCTCCATGTCGACTCGCGTGGGATCGGCGCCCGCCCTCAGCAGCGCCTCCGTGGCCTCCCTGTTGCGGTGGCGCAGCGCCAGAATCAACGGCGTGTTGTTCCAGCCGTCCTTGGCGTCCACCTTCACCTCCAGCTGCATCTCTGCGCACACCCTGAAAAACATCTCCACCAGTCCCTTCCGCTCCTTGATCGGCTTTCCGCAGATCGTGTGCAGCGCAGTCGATACGTCCTCGTCGACGTGGCTGGGATCGGCGCCCGCCCTCAGCAGCATCTCGATCGTCTCCCGGCAGGCTCGCTTGCAGGCCAGCTGCAGCGGCGACTCGCCCGTCGTCTTCACGAGCAGATTCGGATCGCAGCCGCCGACGTCGAGGAACTTTTTCACCAGGTGGCCGCGATTCGACATGCAGGCCACGTGGAAATGCGTGAGGCCCGTGCTCCTCTCCTCGTAGTTGCAGTCGAATCCGTCGTAGATCTCGAACAGGGCCTCCACCACCGAGTCCCAATTTTTCATGCCGTCGCGCTTCGCGGCCAAATGCAGCGGACTCGCGAGGATCCGCGGCGGCTTGCCTGCGTTCCTCTCGTCGTTATACTTGTACTTGTGCCTGTAGCCCGAGCGAGCCACGAACTTGACGACGATCTCGGCCTCGTCGTGGCCGGGATAGCCGTAGCAGTCGATCGTGTCGCGCAGCAGCAGCTCGAGCTCGCGCCGACGAAACACGTCGCGGCGCAGATCGGGCAGCCGGCTGGGCGGCCAGTCGCGTATCAGGTCCTGGAAGCGGCCGAGGAAGTCCCGTCGCTGCTCGCGGCAGTTCCAGTCGGTCACCCGGCGACGCTCGCGCTTGAGCTCGCGCACAAAGTCCAGCCAGTCCGGCTCCTGAGAGGGTCGCGCCCAAAACGAGAAACAGCCGATGATTTTTGACATCGTGCTGAGCACTCACACGCGCACACGCACGGATAGCACGAGGTCACTGTAGTAATGTTATTTCGGAGATGTTCGCGCTACGGAGTCGTTACGCGTACTGATCCCAAGATCTATATTCTAGTATCGAGAGAGTCAAAAAAAACATGTAGCATATAGGCTGTAAGAGATATATAATACAGATCGAAAAAGCAGATAAGCAGACGCGACGAATTATAATTAGTGAAAGTGAAAGTGAAATTGGAGTAGAAGAAGTCGAGACACACGGCGCACATGGCCGGCCGTGTCAGGCCCCTGCAACGCTGAATTGAATCATCTTTAACTCACAGTTTCAATGTATATTTTAACATTTTAAAGTAGCAGTGGAGAGCTTAAAGGGGCGTCATGAAGCCCGAAGACATGCACAGATGTTTTCATGCATCTGTGCGGGTTATCGCGTCCGACCTCGTCGCACTAATTCTGTCGCACGAACTTATAATTTCAAATGATGTATTAGCTCAACAAATAAGAATCGTGACGATTAAAACAATTCGTAATATATCTCTCGCGAGTCTTCATTCTCAAAAACGGGGCAGTGTAGCTATAGTTCCCTGTCTGCTGCGCTATATTTTTCACTTAAAACGTGTCAAGCTGAAGCTGTAGGTAGATAAAGTTTCTTTATCTTGGAATATTTAGACAGCTTTTTTTCTTCTCTTTTTGTCTCTATGCGATTAACTAGAGTATCGAACCGGTCTTTTTTTCCCCACTTACATTTAGCTATTTTACAACAATACTTGTTGCTCAACGATTCCACCAAATTACAACGTTTACTTTAACTCTTCGTTAAAAAACGAATTTAAAACAGAAAAAAAAGCATTCATCACATCGCGCTATCCCATACAATCCAATCGAAAAATCCACGTTTGCTTTACGTTCCCTCGTATACGTTTAATACAATGCCAAACTAGTTTATTCGTTGTTTCAATAGAAATAACTCGTGTAGCTTTCCCTTAGCTGCTTTCGAGCGCGATATACACGCGCGCGCGAGCAAACACACAAATACGGCTATAAGCTGGCGGCAAAGGAAAATTTATGCTCCTACTACATGTACCGACGATGCAGTTTTCGCGCCCCGGCCTGCGTATATATATAAATAATAACGGGAGAAGATATAAAATATTTGCCGCGGAAATTTGCTGCGAAGCTTTTGCTCGGCCGAGAACGTCTTTATTCGAGCAAGTTGGGTGAAAGTATATAGGGGAAGGGGCGATTTGAAATTATGGACTTCGAGCTAAGTGTAGGCGTTGGAGAAAGTTTGGCCGAAAAAAAGAATGTATCGCGTTTCATCGTTTTGCTCCGCGGCTCGCAGATGGCCATTTTGAGAGAAAAATGCGTAATTCGGGCTGCGGGAACGAGCCACTGACATGCTAATTATATTTATCAATCTGAGCAATTGCCGTAATTGTCACGTTTCTTTTTTGATTGCGTATATCATCGCGACGAAAAAGACTCGAGTGCCCAAAAAACGATAACCGGTAAAACTTGAAAAATCGGCTAGGTATACTCGCGCAGTCTTAGTTTCTGAGTGAGATGAATCACCAACAATTTTCAGGACGAGGAGAAAAACGTGGTCGAAGGTGTGAGAAAATGAAAGTTTCCATTGGGTAAATTAATGCTCCACAGTCCACGTCATCGAATTATTATACAATTTAAAATCTTAGTTTTACGCGCGTGTAAATTTGAGCAGTTGTTGATATATGCTGGTCGAGATTTTTCAGAAAAAAAATACTTGAAAACCGTTTCACGACTTTCTTCGTATTAGTTTTTGATGGTAAACAGTCGATTTAGACATTTTTTTAAAATTGTCATTGGACAAAGCACCTGCAATAACGTAAAATTGAATAGTTTTCATAATTTTTCTCGTTTTGATTGAGACATAATATTACCATCTCACGTTATTTGCAAATCAAAATCCTCCAAGCGTCAATGGTCGTTTCATAAATAGAACGATAAGCGTCGCTAGTATCGCTACTGTCGCTTTTCGCACTGAACTCAGAACTGTCGCGATTTCTCGCAAGCGGAAACATAAACAAAGGCAATTCACAGTTTTACCCAAGCCCGCTGCAACTGCTGGAAATACCTGTTAAAAACTGTTATATTTAGTCATTCTCCTCTTGGTTCTTAAAACATCAATTTGTTGAATATATCTTTAAAAGTTACACTCGATCGAGTACTTATAGATCTATCAAGTGTTCAACCGTACAGCTCAATATGTCATCAACGCAACAAATTGAAGCCACCACTACAGCCACTTCGGAGAAGTGCATTTACAAATGGACGATCAAGAATTATCGTTTGATAAAGACAAAAGTAGGAGATTCGATATCATCCCCAGAATTCAGCGTTGGAAACGATGATAAAAAATATTTCAGCATGAAATTATTCCCTGCAGGCGATCGCACGGAATCAGCAGAATTCATTTCTATATATCTTACTTACCTCAGAACTGATTCAACCAAAAATCCAGATAAAATAGTATGCAGAAGTACTATATCAGTTATTAATGATAATAAAGTTGTTTTTTATTCTATAATACATCAAGAATTTGTGCATAAGCGATCCTGGGGTTGGAAAAATTTTTTCAACCTGAAAGATATTGACAAATTAATTTCTTCCAATAATTCTATCACTATTCAATGTGATTTAGAAATTTTCAAGGAATATGAAAGTCTAATGTGTTCAAAAATCATTAACAAGGATGAGACAATTGATGGGGTAAATTTAAACTCAGCATTTCTCAGTGAAGAACTCAGTGATGTTCGGTTGATAACTTCTGACGACAGTTCCATCCCAGCGCACAAAATTATACTCGCTATGGCTAGTCCAGTATTTAAGGCCATGTTCACCCATGATATGCTGGAAAGTAAAAAAAATTCCATTGAGATTACAGACACTCCTTACAATATTCTAGTTGAGATGTTGAGATACATCTACACGGGTGACATTGCAAGTACCACAACAGATATGATTCTCAAGCTTTTAGCAGTGGCTGATAAGTATGAAATCAATAATTTGAAAAGCAAGTGTGGTAAAATATTATGTGCTGAATTATCCAATGAAAATGCAATTGAGATTCTAATAGCTGCTCATAGATATGATGCAAAGCACTTGGAAAATGAAGCGTTGAGGTTTGTCACAGTTCACATGCAATCATTCGTTGATACTGAAAAACTAAAGGAAATAACAGATCATGGTGTATTACTCAACATAATACAATCAATAACAAATTCTTCAAGGTAACCTTAAATAAAATTAGTCAGATTTATATGAACCTTGAAATTATAGGTGATGACTAGCTTATAATATTGTTATAAAACACTTCTCATTTCAGCATTGTTTGTTAACAGTAAATTTAACAGCTTTTTTCTTATTTTATAAGTCATTTATATTTAATATAATATGTTTATTTAATAGTTGTTGAGTGTAAAGTCAAAAACTAGACTGAAAACATTTTTGCTGTTGCCTGAGCTCGATGAGCTATGTGATTTAATGCTTCAGAGCATTTGATAAGGGATTTTTTGTATCGCTAGCTCATAAGTTTATAAAGTAACTTAAATACATTCTGTAAAATTTTTATATAAATAATGTGCATTATTGAATATTCTTAAATGATTGTGGAAACTCATTTCTTGTTGGATTTATCATTACATCCTGGATTGATGATTTTATGTGTATGGATATAAGCAGTTTTAGTTCAAACTGGAGAAAGATTACTAGCTCTTAGTGTTAGTCTACTTTGCCGGTCAAAAGAAGTAGAAATAGATTCATCAAACGTTATGAGAAATAAAACAAATTACTAATTAACAAAGAACCGGATATATAAAAAGTGTTGGTCACAATATGTGTCAGTACCTACATAATCTACTAGTGCACTTTTTGCAAAACCATTCATAAATATGATGACTTTTCCTATATTTCCTTCTATAGTTATATAATTTAATGCTTATATTTCAAGTGGTATAGCTTTAAAATTAAACTATTGGTCGACTATTGTTGAAATTACAAAAGATAAAGTTATTCAATTTGAATAGTCAGCGCATTCAGTAATAGTGACTCTGAACAATTGGCTGGTACTGTTAATAATTTTGATGGCTAGTTCTTTGCCTCTCCAAGTGTGATAAAATAGAGTACACATGCTCGTAACACACACACGTGGAAGGCTTTGTTGCACATGTGTAGTGATGAAAAAAATAAAAAGGAAAGATGAAAATGGTAATGGAAAAAAGTTACGAGCTACATGGTTGCTTTTTGAGTTCGACACTCAGTTCATTGTGCTCGGGCAAGTCTCCGGCAATGCGCTATCTCTCGCGTACACCACGTACAATAGGCCGCTCAATGGGCCTCGGTTTTGTCCTCCTCACCCAGATGTGAACTCGACTGGATGTGTCCAGCTGCACACGACCGATGAAAAGCCGACCGACCCCGCATGTTTGACGGGTTGTGTGTGCCACGACAAAAGTGGATAAGTCGTATTCTTGCTGCTGACTTGCGGCTTTTATTTTCGTGGCTTGTTGAAATTAGTTGGGATACAAGCCAAAGGTAGAGAGAATATAAAAATGCAAAAAATTTCTGGTAAAAAGGTAAAAAAAGACGCTTATTTATGACTTTTTTAAGTATAACTTTCAATAGATAAAACATAGTCATCATTAAAATAATATTCTCTCCTTACCTCGAAAAAAACGAGGAAACAAGGTACTCGACGATAGCAGCATTTTTCGCTGCAATGAGAACGCGCACGAAAAAGAAAAGAAAAAAAGATAACCGATTCAGCCTCGAAATGAGATTTTAATTGAACATCTTATTACGAGAAGAGCATATAGGTGTATATAAAACTAGAGTGTGTGCTATACAGCCCTGCTGCTTTTTGCGGGAGCCGCTACTCGTAATTTTCGAGATAAAATAATATCTCTAAGCTTCATTGAAATTTTAGCGAGCAATATTCATAATATAACGTGCAATGAATTATTTTCCGAGCTGAATGAGCTAGCTGCGTTTTCAGCCATACATCGTACTTTAACGTTTCTCCGATCGCACAACAATCTCACGGTGTGTATTTGTTATTATGTGAGTTTAATTTGTCGTTGTTGAAAATGTTATCAATAATCTGTTTTTTTTTTTTTTNCTCGTCTATGTAATTTTTTTTTTTTTTTTTTTTTTTGAAAATACACCTCTTCGACCAACCGAGCGGTATTACCTATGCTTTATTACGATCATGCACCATTTGCAGCGTGAAGAGCATCTTACCACGATCCGAACTAATGACCGCAACTGAGGACTCATCAAAAAGTATTTACTAAAATCAATACAAATCGATTGTCAAGCGAGCTATATCGCAAAAAACGAAATGATTGATGTCTCTTTATTTCGATACAACCCAAAAATTCCATCTTCGCGAGTGATAAGTCGAATATTATGAGCTTGATCACATCGACGCTGTGTGCCACTGTATATAATTGTTTAATCTTCAAATTGGCTTTTGCACTCCCCGTAGAAGTTTCACCTCATGACTACAGTAGTATTCGTCAGCTCGATCGAGAGGAAAAAGGACGAGAAAAGCAGCTCTGCGTACATATTACGGAGATAGAAGCAGAAAACCTTCCCACGGGACGCAGGCATCGGCTGCAGAATTAAGCCAATCAGATGCTCGTTCGTTTTAAACAGGATAGTTTCGCATTTACGGCAAGATTAAAAGCCTGGCTGTGTATGTGCGAAGTGCGAACCCGTGTGTGAGTGCATGAGTGTATGTATAGAGAAGCGAGGAATATACACATGTGTACTATAGTTAAGGAGTCAGAAAAAATCTGATGTCAGAAAACTACTAAGTTGTAAAATAAAAAAAAAGCACTTCAAAACGCACTTGAATTTTGATTACATTTTATAAGACTCACAAGTAAATCGAGGGAGCTGGTGAATACGCAAATGATTTTTTTTCAAAAAAGTAATTTCAGCCTAAAAGCATAAACAGTTTCTATAAGTCCCCTGGTCGAAGTAGCGCATGCCGGATGAGTAAGGTAAGTTGATAGTTGAGTACACGATAATGTTTCACAGATATAACGAAAAATGTCGCTACTGTCGCTATTCGTATCGAATTCAACCCGTCGTCGATTCTCGTAGTAACCGGAAACACAGGCAACTCGCGCCTCACATAATACATTCACGCGAGGCCGCTGCCACTGCTGGGAAAACCTGTTCGCTCAACTATTATTGCATGGAATTCTGTTCCTTATTCTCAATCAATCTTCAATTTGTTAAATATCGCTGAAAGTTTAACTGAATCGAGCCATAGTCAACATCAGGTATATCAAGTGTATTATATTGCTAAATATGTCATCAAAGCAACAAATTGAGGCAACTACTACAGCCACCTCAGAAGAGTGCAGATATACATGGACGATTAATAATTATAATTTAATAAAAACGGAAGTAGGAGAATCAATATCATCTCCAAAATTTTACGTTGGAAGTGATAATAAACAATTTTTCAAGTTGGATCTATACCCCGAAGGTAAAGAAAGTGCAGGATTCATTTCTTTGTTTCTAACTTACGAAGGAACTGATTCAACAAAGAAACCGGATAAACTCATATGTAAAAGCACAATATATGCTCTTAAAAATATGGACATTCTAAGTTCATGTGAAATACATCAAGATTTTGTGAAAAGTCCAACTGGGGGTCCGTTAGAATTTTTTGAACTGAAAAGTAAGTTCAAATGGATGAAAAATTGTAACTATTTTCTGCAGTGTAAAAGTTCTCACGGGTTATGAATCCTTACTGGGTTCAAAAATCATTAAAAATGAAGATGGGACCAATAATATTGTAAAATTCAACTTGTCATTTCTCAGTGAAGAATTAAGTGATGTTGAGTTGATAACTTCTGATGAAAACTCCATCCCAGCACACAAAGTCATACTTGCTATGGCTAGCCCAGTTTTTAAAGCAATGTTTACCCATGATATGTTGGAAAACAAGAACAACTCTGTTAAGATAACTGACATTTCTCACAATGTCCTAATTGAAATGTTGCGATAAATTTACACTGGAGATATTACAAGTACTTCAAAAGACATGATTCTGGAGCTTTTAGCAGTGGCAGACCAATATCAAATTGATAATTTGAAAATTAAGTGTGCAAAATTATTACAAGCAGATTTGTCTATTAGAAATGTAATCGATATTCTAATAGCTGCTCATAAATATGGTGAGAAGAATTTGGAAGATAGCGCATTAAAGTTTGTTGCTGATAACGTACAACCAGTTGTTAATTCTGAACAACTGAACCAAATAACTGATCCTGCTTTATTACTTAGCATTATAAAACAACTTGCAAAAACAATATACACATCAAAAAACATCAAAAGATGTTATTAGCAGTTCATTATTATATAGTACTATCTTCACTGGAAATAAAGTAAAAATACATTTATCAAGCCGCATAAGGAGGAGCAAAACCAATTTGTCAGTTAATAAAGAAAGTGCAGTATTTGTCAAGTGTTAAAAAGTATACAAAAATCTAAGTTACAACTGCATATGTTTGATTATTATACTTTCATTTTAATATAACTATTTTGCTGTAAAATTAATAAATAAAAAAAACCAGTTCGAGATGCAAATGAAACTGCTTCTCTTGCTACGTAAGCTCTCCTCTAATTACTATTATTTTTCAAAGCTCATTTTACCAAAAGTCACGAAAATGGCAAGACGATAAGATTATCGAGTAATCCAAGGAATGAGGTGAATACGCGAATGTCTCAACTCTTTTAAAAAAAAGTGATTGCAGGAAAATATCATAAACCTTGTTTAAGTGTAAAAATTGGTTAAAGAGAAACTACTGGATTTACTTATCATTTTTTAGTCTATTGATATGATAAAAATATGTTTAATACGAATCGACATAATTCATAACTTCCTCGATCGAAGTAGCGCATGCTGCAGTACACAGTACTGAGTACACACTATACGATAATGTGCTTTCAGCTTCACAGACGTACCGATAAGTGTCGCCTCTATCGATATTCGAAGTCAATCATCATCGATTTCGTTTTCGGAATCAAAGGCATACCGCTAACCGCATAGCTCGTGCGGCTCATTCCTCAAATCCTCACTCTACCCCTAACTGCCACTGCTAGTAAAACCTTTTTAAAACTATTATTTTATGGCATTCTTTTTCACATTCTTGATCAATCTTTAATTTGTTGGATATCAATGGAAGTTTTACTCCGCTAAGGCGTAGTAAACATAATCAAGTGTCTATTAAATAGTTCAATATGTCATCAACGCAAGAAATTGAGGCCACTACTACAGCTACTTCAGACAAGTGTATTTATAAGTGGACAATTAAAAATTATCGTTTAATAAAAACAGAAGCAGGAGAATCAATATCATCCCCAAAATTTTGTGTTGGAAAAGATGATAAAAAATATTTCAAGTTAAATTTATATCCGGAAGGTCATGGAAATCCTGAGTTCATTTCTTTATTTCTAACTTACTTAGGAACTGATTCAAGAAAGAAACCGGATAAACTTATATGTAGAAGCAAAATATCAGCTATTAACGATAAAAAAGTTGTTCATCACTGTGTAGTACATCAAAATTTTGCAGAAATTTCAAGCTGGGGTCGGTTGGAATTTTTTGAACTAAAAAATATTGAAAAATTAATTTCTTCACTAAACACTGTAACTATTCATTGTGAATTAGAAATTTTTAAAGAATATGAGTCCTTATTGGGTCCAAACATCATCGGTAATAAAGATGAGAAAATAGAGGAAGTAAAATTCAACTTGCCATTTCTCAATGAAGAGTTCAGTGATATAGAGTTCACAACTTCTGATAAAAAATCCATCCCAGCACACAAATTCATACTGGCTATGGTAAGCCCAGTATTTAAGGCAATGTTTACTCATGATATGTTGGAAAGTAAAAAAAATTCTGTGGAGATTACAGACATTCCTTACAATATTCTGGTTGAGATGTTGAGATACATCTACACAGGTGACATTGAAAGTACTACAACAGATATGATTCTCGAGCTTTTAGCAGTGGCTGATAAGTATGAAATCAACAATTTGAAAAGCAAGTGTGGTAAAATATTGTGTGCTGAATTATCCAATGAAAATGCAATTGAGATTCTATTAGCTGCTTATAAATATGATGCAAAGAATTTAAAAGGTAGCGTATTAAAGTTTGTCACAGATAACATACAATCACTTGATAATTCTGAACAATTGAATCAGATAGCTGATCCTCATATATTACTCGACATTATAAGATTTCAAAATGTGCAAAAACACCAATACCAATGACAAGCTAAGTTTGTTGTTTTGCATGTAGTTCATAATATCGTATTATCAAACATTAGGTTCAAAACATTTTTAAAATTTTGCTAAAATTCAAATTGATTATCACTAATTTTTTATACTTTATAATTCAATGAGTCAATCAATGCATGGAAAACATTTTATACAGAATTTTCTGTATCTCTAGCATTATAAATATATAAAATAATTTTGAATGCAATCTGTAACATTTTCATGTAAATAAAGTGTATCAGTACACAATCTCAAATGACCATTGACTCTTATTTCCTTGTTTAATTTATTACTTCATTCTGGTTTGATCGGTGAGTACTGCATATGTACCTATATAATAATTTAATAATAGAAAAAAAAATTTTTTTAGTACTTCTTCATGTTAGCCTACTTCAATGCTGATAAAAAAAATATATTTATGAAATATTATAAGAAAGAGCAAACTCAATTAATCAGCTAATAAAGAAAGTAAAAGATTTGTTTGTGTTCAAAATACTTTACTAATTTACAATTTAGTAATAGATTTAGATATGTGTAGCACCACTTACAGAGCAGAAAACTTACCCATACCCCGCAGACATCAGCTGCAGAAGTAAGCTAAACAGATGTTCGTTCGTTTTCTTGACTCGTTTTTAAAGAAAATAGGTTCGCATTTACGGCAAAATTAAAAGCTCGCAGTGAAAGCCCGTATGTGTATTGTGCGTGAGTATGGAGAATCGAATACAGGGCAAGAGTCAGAAAAAAGTATAGAAATGAAAAAACAACCGAAAAAAAAGGAAACGGGAGTCGAAGTTACGACAGCATGTCTGTGATTATAACATTTTTTTTATAATTATAAACTATTTTGATACAAAATTTAAAAGTCAGCTTCAAACGCACTTACATTTTTATTATATTTTGACTTTAAATGACAATAAAAGCATCAAGCAATTCGAAAGAAGTGATGGATACGCAAATATGTCTTGTCTCGTTTAAAAAAAGTGATTGCGCGCAAATTAAAGCCTTTTTTAAGTGTAAAAATTGGTTATAGAGAAACTGCTGAATGTACTTATCATTTTTTAGTCTATATTAATACAAATATATACTATGCGTTTCGATAAAATTTATAACTGTTCAGAATGAAGCTTACAGTAAAATTGCTGTTTCATAAATATACCGATAAGTGTCGCTGATTTCACTGTTCGACGCAACAATCGGGATCGGACTGTAGCTATATTACGAATAAAGTCGGTCTCGGGCTCGTTCACAGCTGCTGCAATCGTCGATGTAGCGCAAAACATCGACGCGACGAGAAGCAGAAAAATCGGCAGAAAAGCGACCTTCATCGTGATAGAAAAAATGAATAAAAAGCAGAAGAAATTTCGATTCGGTTACTCTCGATGCTGGTACATTTTGCGAGCGCCGAGTCGATGTTTTATATACAAATGCGAGCACACTTGGGCGCAAGTCACGTAGCCGTTGTTGCATGATTAATTGCACACCGAAGAAGTAAACATAGCGTTAATTAATCGACGAGTGCGCAGAAAAAATTTGAAATTCGATGTAAAAATACGATGCGTCCACTCGCCTACACGTGCGATTGTTTCAGTGAAAAATTGATCGCTATGTGTATTGATATTGTTAAAATATGAATTATTGAATTTATCATAATAGTTTTTGGAAACGATTTTTATTTTACGATTAATCATTCTGATGTCGGATTCATCCTTGAACGATTGCGATGGCATTTGCAAACGCGATCCACTTTCGCGCTTACTGACCATTTGAAAAGATACGATCGTGTGTGCAGAAAATGAAAAAACTAAGAGAAAATTAATTTTTGATACTACTGAATGAACTTTCAAAACAGAAAAACTTAGTAGTTTGACGGCTTTCATGGCGTACATCGCTTACGTTACTACAAAGATATCGAAATTTGATATCGAAGCCATGCAGAAATTGATCTGAAAATCATTTAAACGAATTAAAAACGTTGATAAATGGGAAATTAAAAATCGAGATCGCTACAACAAATATGCCACTTTACCTCACTACACGCGCTGAACATTAAGTAAATGAGGCAGGGGTGCATTGACCACGTACGAAATTGACAACCGCCTCAGTTACGTACGTATATTATTTTTCATCATCCAGTGCAGGAAGTCGATTTTAAGATTTTCCCGCTCGCTGTGATGAAAGCATATTTTTCAATTCATAATTTCTTTGTAATAAAATTCAGAGAAAATTGCTAATTGTTTATTACGCCGGAGATCTATAGTATGATTTCTCCAATAATAAATAGTAAGTTTAGAATGTCTCTGTTGACATAAATTTTCTCAAACTTTCATTTTACGATTTGTAAATAAGATTACATGTATAAGTTACCTAGCTCGATGTGTAACATCATTACAGAACAATTAGTCGTTGATCAAGTTCCGAGTAATAAACATGGACTTCAGTGGTGTATATAACTGTGACATCAGGTAATTTTTATTTTCTGGAAAATGAAATTTAAAATAAAATGGCATAATACTTTATATTATTGGGAATATTGCAGAGTGAAGGAGGAACCAAATGATTTTGCCCCTATTGAAAATGATGATTATCAGATAATTGACAATGCACACGATGCTAACACTGATGATCAATCCTTGCGATGTCTAGAAAATTTTGTAAGTGTTCAAATAGCACTGCTTGTAGCTGACATTTTCAACAACAATTTTCCCTAATCTTGAATTCAAATTATATTTTTATAGACTCGTGGCCCTGACGATGTCGAAGTAGAATTCGAATGTAAGGACGAGAAGCTCGGCATTAACTTATTAGTAGTCAAGAAAATCGAGGACGATTATCCAGATCATTTGCAGCATATGGAAAATAGTTACGATAATCAAACCCAAAAGAAAATTAAAAAAGAAATTGAGGACGAAATAAAAGAAGAATTGAATTCGGATGATGAACTCAGTGATGCATTTGATGCAAATGAAAAAACATTTGCTCAAAAAAGTCTATGCAAAACCCAAACTGATAAGGGACGCAATCGTACCAAATATCCATGTAATATATGCGGTACAAAATTTACACGAAAAGATAATCTCAAGGTCCACATCGATGGACATAATGCTGTTAAACATGCGTGTGGTGTATGTGGAAAAAAATTCACACACAAATATACTCTAAAAATGCACATCGATGCGATGCATAATGGTATGGCACCTAAATGCGACATATGTGAAAAGACATTCATACAAAAAGGAGATCTCAAGAGGCATATCGATGGACATAATGGCGTTAAACATGCGTGTGATACGTGTGGAAAGACATTCACACAAAAAGGATATCTCAAGGTCCACATCGATGTAGTTCATAATGGTATGGCACCTACTTGCGAAATATGCGGGAAAAAATTCTCAGCAAAGACTGCTCTCAAATTTCACATCAATGCGATGCATAATGGTATGGCACCTACTTGCGAAATATGCGGAAAGAAATTTCAAACGAAGACTAAACTCAAGGTCCACATCGGTGCAGTTCATAGTGGTATCAAGCATACGTGTGTTACATGTGGGAAGACATTCACACAAAAAGGATATCTCAAGGTCCACATCGATGCAGTTCATAATGGTATGGCACCTACTTGCGAAATATGCGGGAAAAAATTCTCAGCAAAGACTACTCTCAAATTTCACATCAATGCGATGCATAATGGTATGGCACGGACTTGCGAAGTCTGCGGAAAGAAATTCTCAACGAAGACTAAACTCAAACTCCACATGGATGCAGTGCATAATAAGATAACTCACGCATGTGATACATGTAGCAAAATATTTACGCTGAAAGATAATCTTAAGAAACACATCGATGCGATGCATAAAGGTATGGCACCTACTTGCGAAGTGTGCGGAAAGACATTCTCACTAAAGGGTAATCTTAAAAGACACATGAATTTGATGCATAATAAGATAACTTACGTTTGTAATACGTGTGGCAAGACATTTTCACAAAAGGATAGTCTTATAATTCACATTAGAACACAACATGGAGACATTGATTACGCATGTGTTTAATGCGGAAAAAATTTGCACAGAGGAGATACATATGCACGTCAAATGTATGTATAATGTCAATACCCAAGCACGGGATCAATGCAAAAGATCTCAAAACGTACCTATCAATACCGCGCAAAATGATTTAACATCGAGACAAATGAGTGGTTATAAAACTTTCATTGAGATAGCGCATCTTTCACGCATTACCACCTAATAAATGTATAAAATGTTCATTTAAATTTTGTAAAAAACAATTACTATTATATTTTGGATTACTCCTGTGTTTTTCATCTCACTTCTTACAAAACAATCGAGTTTTAAATAAATTAATAAACTTTTTATTACCAAAGAAAAACATGATTTTTCATTTCAATCAATCTATATCTATAATTTTTATCAATCTGTATGGTTTTGTTAAACATACAAATCATGAAATGAAGATTTTCACAGAAGGTAAATCTTGCATAAAATGTCAAATTAATTATTCACAATCGACATCAAGACATCGCTGACTTTACGATTTGTCGCACAATTTTTCACGACCCGCCTCGCGTGAATCCAAAAGAATTACAAGAGTTCTCCCTCGCACGCGCTTCTTCGTCGAAAATGTGTTCCAATCTCGTCGCCCATGCTCTACGCACAACATACCTATCGTCGCATTTTCCCACAGATAAGAAAAAAGTGACTCGTCGTCGATTAGCACCTATTACAGGGCCCTATAGCCATAAGTGCTGTGTGTAATATCTCGTGCGTCTGTGATCCATGCACTACAATACGGTGTAACGAGTGCCATAATCATCGGCGCACACAACTACGAGCCGTATGCAGCATGTACACAAGTAGATGTCTCGTACTTATTTTTTTCCCATAGTGTTTATAAATACACGATTACCGCAAGGATACATCGATTCTGGGCATCTTGTATACAGACTGAAATCAATAACGAGACATAAGCTTGCTCGCGCGCGTATATACTATATGTAATTTCTCATTATTCTCGTATTCGCAGTGTGCGCGTGGATGGAGGGAATTACAGCGCTGGCGTCGATTTTAACATGTGCACTTATGGAAAAGACTTCCGGTTATGGCAGTGGCGGCCACGGTACTAAATTTCTCCCCATATAAGGAAATAACATGTGAATAACTTCCAAAAGGGGGGGAGCCACGGGTGACGCGCGGAGCGACTAACAAAGGCAGCGCGCGCCTCAAATCCTCTCGTGAACCCACCGCCTTCGATCGCGATCAATATTTAATTTGTTAAATTTAATTCGATCGAGGCATAGCCAATATCAGGTGTATCAAGTGTCTATTATATTACCAAATAAGTCATCAACGCAACAAATTGAGGCCACCACTACAGTTACTTGAGATAAATCCAAATACACATGGACAATTAAAAACTTTAGTTTGATGAAAACAGATGTGGGAGAATTAATATCATACCCAAAATTTTGCGTGGAAAGTGATGGTAAACGATTTTTCATCTTGGAATCATATCCTCAAGGTAAAGAAAGTGCGAAGTTCATTTCTTTGTTTCTTACTTTCCAAGGAACTGATTCAACAAAGAAACAAGATAAACTCATATGTAAAAGCACAATATATATGCTCTTAATTAATAGTAAAAATGTTGTTAGTTCATGTATGATACATCAAGATTTTGTGAAAAGTCCAACCGGAGGTCAGTTAGAATTTTTGGAACTGAAAAGAATCTCTGAAATCATTTCCAAGAACAATGTAACCATTAGCTGCTATGTAGAAGTTTTCAAAACATATGAATCCTTATTAGATTAAAAAATCATTAAAAATGAAGATGGGACAAATAATAGTGTGAAATTCAGCTTGTCATTTCTCAGTGAAGAATTAAGTGATGCTGAGTTAATAACTTCTGATGAAAACTCCATCCCAGCACACAAAGTCATACTTGCTATGGCCAGCCCAGTTTTAAAAGCAATGTTTACCTATGATATGTTAGAAAACAAGAACAATTCTGTGAAGGTGACTGACATTTCTGAAAATGTTCTAGTTGAGATGTTGAGATACATCTACACTGGAGATATTGAAAGTACTTCAAAGACTGGAGCTATTAGCAGTGGCTGACAAATATCAAATTGGTGATTTAAAAATTAAATGTGGGAAATTATTATCTGCAGATGCGTCTACTGAAAATGCAATTGATATTTTAATAACTGCTTATAAATATGATGAAAAGAATTTAAAAGATACAGTATTGAAGTTTGTTGCTGATAACATAGAATCACTTGTTAATTCTGAACAACTGACTCAGATAGATGATCCTGCTATATTACTTAACATCATAAATTCAATTACAAAATTATTACCAAAAAATACAAGTACTGCATCAATCGCCTTTTCTACCTCTTGCTATGGTTTTACGAATAAATATTAAATAATTCATAATTCAATGAGTGATTCAATGTGTGGTAAGCTCTTCATAGAGAATTTTTTGTATCGTTTGCATCATAAACTTATAAAATAATTGTGAATGCAATTTGTTATACAAATAAATTACATCAAAATTAATTTTGATTGAAAATTATTGAAAATTATTTACTGATTTGATTTTATTCTATTTTAATTCGATCAGTGAATATATATGGGTCAGATTCAGAATTTTTCATATAAACGCGCGGGCGAGGTTCACGGATTTTCCTGAATTTTTGTTATGTTATAGTACATGATAAAAAAGTGCCAAAACCAACATTTTGGACCCCCTCCCCCCTCCTACCCCCCTCCTCCCCAATAGACGTCCATTTTCTATTTATATTTTTTCTGAAGGCCTGAAGCTATTAAAAAATCTGAAAAAATTCATGAAGGTACTTTTCAACAATCCGAACAATCTTGAATTTTTTCCGATTTTTCAAGTGCTTCAGGCCTTCAGAAAAAATCATTGAAAATTTAAATTATTTTATTTTCGGTGAAATGGTTCGATGTACCAGACCGGAGTATTTTTTTCTGAATTCTGAGCATAACAAAATTTCAGGAAAATCCGTGAACCTCGCCCGCGGGTTTACTTGAAAAATTCTGAATCTGACCCATATTCATATATTAATAATAGGTGAATAGAATAGTATATTTTGTAACAAGTGCGCGAAGCAGTTGACTCATCCAGGAGTTGTTTTCACCCGAGCGTAGCGAGGGTGCAAAGACTCCTGGGTGAGTCAACTTCCTCGCGGACTAGTTGCAAACGATATTTTTCAACCCTGCTTGCGAGAAACTAGGGTTTTCTGACGCTTTAAGGTTAGAAAACCCGTGTTTTGCGCACGCAGTGTTAAAAAAGATTTTATTAGTAGGTCTTTATTATAGCTTATCTTCAATAGCATAACCAATAAATCATAAAGAAAGTGCCATTTTTAGAGTGTTCAGAGTGTATACAGGAATCTAAATTACAACTGCATTATTGTATATTTGATTTATTATATTTGATTTATTGTATGATTGATGCATTATTGTACTTTCATTTTAATTTAACTATTTTGCTGTAAAATTAATAAATAAAAAAATCAGTTCCAGACGCACATTCTTACTGCATAAGCTCCCCTCTAATTTTTATTACATTTTAAGGGTTACTTCACCTAGAGTCACGAAAATTACGAGGAGAAAAGATTATCGATAATCCGAGAGGGGGTACTGGTGGATGCACGTTGGCGTTCATTAGCAGCGAGAGAAGCAGAGTGCACTGCACAGCACACACACACGCGCGCGCACCGCCTTAAGACAATGTAAACGTTGACACAAGGAAAAATTAATAAGCTGAAAGAGATTAAAGTCGAGGAGTTTGCCGGTTCTCACGTACTACGCCTGCAGCGCAGTCTTAAGAATTTAAAACTCCTTTATTTGTCCTTTCTCAACGACGACGACGACGACTACGACTATTAGGATTTCATGCGGCCTCGAGAGCACAAATGCCCGCGAGGAAAATCTTGTCGGAACACGTTGAACATTTCGTAAGCATTTACGAGGCAGGACACGATCGCGCGAGAAATTCCAGCTTTTGACGCATTCGTTCATTTACGTATACATACCGATATAAACTCGCAAGTACCGATCGATGTATAGAAACCAATTACGCGACATAAGCCGGCGTGACATCCTGCGAGTAGGCATTTCTCTTTGCTCGTACGTATAACATAATGTATATTGTTGAAGTCGAGCTGATTACGCCGCGAGACGGCATAATAATAATAATAATATTATACAGTTAAGCTGCGATTGAGAGAGATACACACAAGGTACGGCGGGAGGATTATGATCGAGCTTGCGCTTATATCGGCTCGAGTCCTCTCGCGTCAAGGCGCTTGCGGATGATTAATCAACGAATCGAGTCCCGCCGTATCTTTAATTAGCCTGAGAGTATAAGCGATCGGAGCCCCCCTCGCGTTCGTATATATAATACGTATAATCCGAGTCTCGAGACGCGAAGGGTGCCGCATGAGTAATCGGCAAGGACGACGACTGACGTTGCGTTGGTGAAGACGAGGACGATTGAAAATTTGGAATCGTGTGAGTTTATCTCCTTTGATGGTTAAGGATTGATTTTCAGGACATTTGACAGTTTGGATCATGCGTTGGGATAAATTAAATCGTTATGTTTAAATTCTAATGGGAATTGGGATATTTGAAAAATATTTATAGATAATATGCTCGAGAGTATTTTATTATCATACGGTGTACTAACGTGAACTTTAATTAATCAAACAAAGTTATGCATCGTTTGCATCGAGTATCTATTTAAAAATCATCGATTTTGATTCGTATAAGAATTAAATTATATTACTTTTTATTATCGAAAAATCGAAACTTTCGTATTGAATGGTCATCGGTTTCTTGATTTTTTTTTTGTCATACGACACGCCATCGTAACGTCGTAATGTAGTACTTTATCAATTCGTAAATACGATATCAAATTTCCACGTCGAACGGAAAACGTAACGTCCTACGACTCTCGATGCAGTACTGACTCATCTCGCGTCGTGCATCGAATGTTACACGCTTCGAGGAATGATAAGGAGAAAAAAAATGTCGAGCGAAGCCTGCGTTATAGTTTTTCAAACTCATACACTCGATTAATTGTAGGCTAAATTTAACAAACGAGGATCGAATTCTCGTATACGAGCATCCACGAGGCATCAATGAGACTTTTTTACAGATTTTTTTTCGGTGCGATCGAGCTCTTTCTGTCTTCTCCTATAGCTCGTATTTTGAAATGCGATACGTAATTTCTGCCGACAAACAATATCATACTTTTTCGCATTCTTGAGTGTCACACGACCGTCGAGGTTCACATTTGCAACTGCATCGTGTTGTACTTTTTCAGGGTAAAATATTACGAAACATTTATTCATATTGTTACTATATGGTTGCTTTTTTCCGTAATTAGTCGACACCCAGCGATCACTGTTTATTACTCGTACGCGACTTTTCGGAGCTACGATAAATCAGCATTAACAACAACAAAAACACATTCCCCACGCAACAATTACAAGCTACGTGCGCACGCATGAATTTCTTTTTTTTTCGCTCGCTAAATTGCAATTTATGCACAACAAACATCGCTCGCCGATCCTGTCGGGTGCGGTTTAATGTAGCCCTCCCTCCCCCGAAACGCGCTTATTGAACCATCATTTTCCATTTGGTTATACCGGTATAACGCGCGGCGATCCGCTAGCGAGCCCTCGTATACGTACGTGCGGCATTTAACCGCATTTACGCCCTTTCGCTGTACACTTTTCGGATGTATACGAGCTTACAGCAGCTAAAGCTCGAGTGAGAGAGAGAGAGAGTCACTTTCGAGCTCGTATACGTTGCGTGTTGTATATTGGATTGTATGTCGCGAAAGAAACGTGTAACGCGACGAGACCCATTAAAAGTTAATGTTTCGTTAATTTTCGCGCGAAAAAGGATAAAATAGAGATATTTAACATGTGTGTATGTGTGTGTGTATGGGAGCGTCGAGAGTGAGAAAATGCACTAAAATGAGGGATTAGAGCCTCGCGAACCTAAGACGAGCGAGAGAGGCAGGATACAGAAAGTGCGTTTAATCCACTTTTCAATTACTTGTGCGTCTGTATATTTGCTCGATTATAATCGGCAAAAAGCGCAAAAGTTGAGAAACAGAGATGCGCGCGCGGTGAGAAATTAGCGAAAACGTTTGCAATTCGACGAGGTGCGGGGGCGATCACGTTCCGACTGCAGCGCCATGCATATGGAGTTGCCTCGACAGACTGTGTGCATTACGAGCTTAGATCAATTTCTTAAGACGACGAGGCGATGTGAAAATGATTCTTCAAATGATTCAGTTGATTGGCGATTTTACGCGGCTGCGATTCATATTTATTTCGTTGTTCAATTGAAAAAAAAATTTAATTTTTTAAAGAATTAAAATAATGAGCAGTGAATGATAGATATCATAGGAAAATTTAATCTGGCTAAAACGTTCTTGACAATTCGAAATTTCATTTATACACGATTGCATATCAAAGTTACTTACAAAGCGAAACGATGCATGGTGATATTCTATTTTAATTTCTGCATCATTTCCGCATCCGCTGCAAGTTATTATCAATTGTCAAAATACGAAATATTTTTCTTTTTTAATATGCTGCAGTTGGGTGAGCTAATGTAGCGATAGAAGCAGAACTACAGTAAAAAGGAAGTGACTGTTGAGGGGAATCCCAAAAAGCAGTTATTTAAAAGCTGCACCACTGTAGGTACTCACTAGTGCTACTCTGAAAAGTAACGCGTTTACAACAATTTTTTTAGACTTTTTTTGGTGCTGGCAATTGAGCGACTTCAAAATGAGCAACTCTATATTTTATTCGTTGTTATTGGCATTGTTTGTGTTTGAATTACAATCGATTGGAGCTATACCGCCTTATTTGGACAGCGGTGAAAATGTTGTTGAAGACACGACGTTAGTTTTTAACAATAATATTGATAACGCGGATGACCATCATTCTATCAGCGCTGATCAAGATCTTCTTAATAAAAGCATAAACGTCGAGAGCCATGTTGATGAGTCATCGTCATGTAGCGGCATATCTTTGGATTTTTCGAACATGAATATTGGATACGCAGTACGCAATTACTTTATCAATGGTTCGTATGTACAAAATTTGTCACTAGCGCACAATAAAATTGAAGAATTTGACAATGGAGCTTTCGACGGTCTATCAAACTTGAAATACTTGGATTTGTCATACAATAAGTTGAGTCCGACGAAAATGTTATCTTTCGGTGGTCACGCAACCCTAGAGACACTCATTTTCGATTACAACGAACCAGTTCAACAGCTAGAATGGTATTACGAATATGGTTACAACCGTCAGCGAATGATTAATGTGACCCTTCCGATCAGCATACCAACAAGTAACATATATCCGAAACTTAAAAATCTCTCATTGCGCGGAACAAGTATTATTCCCTCGTTTGACAATTGGGATCAAAGTTTTCCATCTTTAGAAAAACTTGATTTATCTTATGTAAATTTAGAAAGCGTTACCAATTCTGAGTTTTCTCAGAGTTTTCCAAGTTCTGTTAAAATTTTGATCTTACAAAGTACAAGTTTACAAACAGCGATATTCGATAATTTATCAAACCTCGAAGAATTGGATGTTACTGGTAATTCCTTTGAAAATGGTTTAGGCTTTTTAAATTGTCCTAACTTGAAAAAATTAAATTTATTTAATACTAGAATTGATAACGTGCCATCAGATTTAAATGATCAGTGTCAAAATATTGAAGAGCTAAACATGGGAGAAAATCGCATTGAAGATATTGATAGTAGTGCATTTGAGAACTTGAATAAATTAAAAGTATTAGATTTGAGTAATAATCCTCTAAAGAAAATCGATTTCATTGCGTCATTATCGCAGCTCAATACTTTGATACTGGATGATATGCAGAATTCAAAAATAATTGAATTTCTGAATACTCATAGTTCTTCAACGCATGAACTAAATTTAAAATATTTATCATTGAAAAATAACAATTTAACAAATCTTCCCGAAAATTTTATAAATTCCTTGAAATTACTGGAAGAAATTGACTTGAGCGGTAATAATCTGGCTTCTGTGACCAAGCTTCCAACTACACTTAAAACGCTAAATCTTCAAAATAATAATATAAATTATCTTGACGAAGATTTATTACGCAGTTTAAGTAATTTAAAAGAAATAAAAGTGGGTAACAATCCTATCAAACAGCTTGAAATTGAATTAATATCCAATTTACCAAAATCATGTATTTTGAACTGGGAATAATTGTACTTAGAATTTAAGTATCTAATAAGTTTGTAACAAGTGCATAAACTTTTAATGTTGACATGTATCTTATTCAGTTTATAATATTTATATTAAACATGTAATCAAAGCAAATTAAATAAATCGATTTTATTATTTCAACCTCCTATCTTTTAATATATCTGTACACAGTAAAATAATTCAATAAAACCATGGGTATTGCAAAATAAATCAAATCACTGCTATAAAATTCAACGGAAGAAACTTGTCGGCAAAATATTTTATTTCATAATTTTTGCATGAAAATAATCATACACAATTTTACTTTCTAATGTTAAAATGCGATAAAACAATTTTCAAATATTGAATTACAATTTAAAAGCTACTGACTCAGTTGTTAAAAAAAAAATAATTGCTTTCCTTTTCATTTGTAATTAATTCTACATATTTATTTCACCACAGCCGAAAATTCCGTCAATAATGATAAAAAATGACAACAGTCCGAGCTTGGCCGCAGTCGTCCTTTTTACTCTTGATCGTTTGCGTCGCAGAGTAATTACCGCGAGGACACATAGTCGATACGTCGAACTATACATATAGTTTCGAAAACTACATCACAAAGGAAGTACTACATCGTGTCAACAGTCGGGCTGGAGCTGCGGTATATATACGATATCGAGGCAGCGCGACACTGATTTAGTCTCGCCGAGTACCAAGTTTTACTCGAGATTTCAAGATTGTGAGGGGCCACGGTATGGACGCCCGTTTAATGCTGCACCAGCATCGAGCGTAGATGCACAATTTGCCTGGATTCGCCGAGACGAAAATCGTCAAAAGGATATCGTGCGTGCTTCGAAACTTCTGGTCGGTACGAGAGGTGAAAAGTTCTCTGTTCTATTTTCATCTAAAGCGTTGGAAACTGACGCGGAAATGTTTCAAATTTTCTTACTTACTGATAAGAAAATCGTAGAATAAAGGCGGATTTGTTGATTAATCGGTGATCTGACTGAGATACCTTTTAAATATCGTAAAATAGAATTAATCTCGAATAGATTATTTAGTAAAATTCTTCGTTTTTTATCGATACTTGAATACATTACTATACGTAAGTACATGCACACAGTCTTTCCAGTTTGTTCGTTTTTCTAATTGAAATTGTTGAAATTTTTGTGTGGTAAAAAATACAAATTATAATCGATTAACTACTCATCGAATGAAAATTACTCCTTAATAACGCTCATTAACATGCATTGCGACTTTTTTTATACACATAACGAAATGTGATTCATCGTCAATTTCTTATCAAGTCTGCGTCCGCAAAAAGTTATTATTTCAGTTGCAATGATCATCGCTACTTTTCAAAATAAATTCAGAATGGTTGGCTATTTTTTACTGCTACTACTACTACTACTACCACTGAGGAAAGAAGATAATAGTATTTCAACTATGAAAATAAATTTTACCCAATTCATTTGAAATTGGTATGAAAGATAATTTTAATGTTTACAAAAATCCTTTTCAAATATAAAAAAATTAACTGCACCGATTATGAGATAAATATGATTGAAAAATCCAAACGAATAAAGATGCAAAATTAAAACTCGTAAAAAATCGTGTAAAAAACAAAATTTCCATATGTTTGACTCAACAAAGAAATCGAGAGTAGTCAGATTATAAGTACTGGTGGAAAAAATTGATAAGTTCACCTGCACCGTTAATAAATTAATAAATCATCAGCATCAAAATATGTCACTCTTCTTGGAAATTTAGTTTGACTTATAGTAAACTCGGTAACACCATAAAAATAGGATGAGTTTGTTTCGTTACTAGACAAGACTTTCTTATGTTGACATGCGTGAATTTTAATTTTGCGATCATGCATCTTGATTTTTCGTTTATTTTTTTTTAACTTTGCATTCATTAAAAGTTTTTATCGGGTTGTTATGTATAATTAAAATTAAGATGGATAAGATTTTTCAAGAAGTATTTACAATTGTTTCCAAAAAACCTTTTCAAATTTCAAATAGTCAATTGTACCGATTGGGAGATAAATGTGGTGCTGTGGTCTCGCTTATTTTTACTTTTGAAAAGAGTAAACTAATCTTTTTACTCTTTTTTGCAAAAGAAAAATCAGAAAAATTTACATATAGAAAATAAAATTTTCACTCAAAAAGCTTAAAAAATAAATCGACCGCGTCAGTAATAAATTACCGCAATAAAAATTGTTCTACCTTCGTAAAAATTTAGTTTGACTCAAAGTAAAGCCGGCATCAAAAGTTTAATTTCGTTAATTTCAATAGTTTCGTCTATTTGTTATTTTAATTTTTCTACTGCGAATTTTTTGGTCAGCTCCTCACGAGACTACTTTTTTGGATCTCGGCATATTTTTTAACTCTAGATTATATTTTTCGAGTTCAAACGAATCTGATGCTGCTTGTATTGCAAAAGTTCGAGCAGTCGAATTAGCGAGGAAGAGCTGACGCTCTAAGAAATGCGATATCACCAAGCTTACTGATTGACAAAAGAATCTTTGTGTTAGCGCACGCGGACACGATTAAAAATTCTTGAGTGGGATAAAGCATATGGTACGATACCTAAGTTAATTTTGTGCGCGCGCAAACGTCGGAGTGGCGTGTGAGGCTGAAGCTTTCATCATTGGAGCTGACCGATTCTTTGCACCGCCTCCACATGTGTTGTCAAAGTCTTAATGAGCATACCCATACTCTTATAGTTCATATGAAAAAATGCGTATCAAATGTACAGAGGCACTTCTTTGTTCTTAAGTCTCTGACAGACGATAACCGGTCGTATTCATCGAAGGGAATCCCGGTAAAACGTTCTTTGAAGACTGCACCACTGAATGTGCTCACTAGTGTTAGTCCGAAAGGCAACGGGCTCACATCAATTTTTCGTAGAGTGATTGACAATTGAGTGACTTCAAAATGAGTAAATCTATATTCTGTTTGTTGCTGGCGTCGTTATTGATGTTTCAATCGCAATCGATTGGAGCAGCGACTATTTTAGGTAGTGGTGAAAATGTTGTTAATGAAAGCGATAACTTAAACGATAAAGAGCCTATCAACCCTGTTTTGGATCTTCCTCGCGACATCAAAACGTACGTAAAGAGGCACGTTGATGAGACATCGCCATGTAGCAGCATAGTCTTGAACTTTTCCGACATGAATATTGGACCAACTGTGCACAATAATTTTATCGATGGTTCGTATGTCAAAAATTTGTCACTGGCGCACAATAAAATTAAAGAATTTGACAATGGAGCTTTCGACGGTCTATCAAACTTGAAATATTTGGATTTGTCATACAATAAGTTGAGTCCGACGAAAATGTTTTCTTTTGGTGGTCACGCAACCCTAGAAACTCTTATTTTGGATTATAATAAAGCAGATGATTCAGTTCAACAGTCACAATTACATTACATTGACAATCGGGGTCACTATCATTGGCGAACTGCTACATCTCCGATCAGTATACCAACAAGTAATATATATCCGAAACTTAAAAATCTCTCGTTGCGCGAAACAAGTATTACACCCTCCTTTGATAATTGGGATCATAGTTTCCCATCTTTAGAAAAACTTGATTTGTCTAATATCAATTTAGAAAACGTTATTAATTCTGAATTTTTTAAGAGCATTCCAGCGTCCGTTAAAATTTTGATCTTAAAAGATACCAGTTTAAAAAGAGCGATATTCGATAATTTATCAAACGTCGAAGAATTAGATGTTACTGGTAATTCCTTTGAAAATGGTTTAGGCTTTTTCAATTGTCCTAACTTAAAAAAATTAAATTTATTTAATACTAAAATTGTTAACGTGCCGTCAGATTTAAATTATCAGTGTCAAAATATTGAAGAGCTAAACATGGGAGGAAATCGCATTGAAGATATTGATAGTAAAACATTTGAGAACTTGAATAAATTAAAAGTATTAGATTTGAGTAATAATCCTCTAAAGAAAATCGATTTCATTGCGTCATTATCGCAGCTCAATACTTTGAAACTAAACGGAATGCCTCCAAAATTAATCGAATCCTTAGATAATATGATTTTTACAATTTATGAGCCAAACTTAAAGTATCTATCAATAAGAAGTAATGGTTTAGCAAATCTTCCCGAAAAATTCATAAAATTGTTAACTTCTTTGGAAGAAATCGACTTGAGTGATAATAATCTGTCTTCTGTGCCCAAGCTTCCGACCATGCTCAAATCGCTAAATCTTCAGAATAATAATATTAATTATCTTGACGATAATTTATTGCGCAGTTTGATTAATTTGAAAGAAATAAAATTGGGTAAAAATCCTATCAAACAACTTGAAATTGAATTAATATCCAATTTACCAAAATCATGTATTTTGAACTGGGAATAATTGTACTTAGAATTTAAGTATTTTATAAGTTTGTAACAATTGCATAAACTCGTAATTTTGATATGTATCTTATTGAATTTATAATTTTCATTAAAACGTTTAATCTAATCGAGATAAATAAAATGATTTTATTACTTTTCCTTGATATCCATTTATTTCCATATATGGTAAGTAATGTAAAAACAAACATTGAAATTTCAAAATATATAAAGATGAATTAATTGCTTTTTATTTTATACTTGTGGCTTTAAAATAAAAACGTATTCTTTACTAATGTTAAAATACTAAATAAATTTTCAAATGTTAAATTACAACACTACTACATACCATCTTGATAAAAAATAAATTCAATTTTTAGTATTTGTAGAATAACGAAAAGTACATTTTAAAAATAATTGATTAGAAAATCGTAGAATAAAAAACTATTTTCTCAATTAATCGGTAATATTACTGATGAGTTTTTCAACGAGCAACAAAATATAAAGTCCATCTCGATCGGATCAATCCACAATATTCTCCGTTCCTCCGACACTCAAGCGCATCGCTAAAACTCGAGCGCACACATACACGCTCCTTTTGCCGCAAGAATAGTCGTGGCTGCTGTCTTTAGCCATCGATCCTGCAGTCTTAACTTGGTGCTATTCTCCTCCTTTGCTCTGTTCCACGCGGCGTGTTTCCTTAATGCCGACGTCGTCGTCGTAGTCGCGTCCCTCGGCTCTAGCCTTCGGAGTTACGCCTCCCTGTCTCTCTCTCTCTCTCTGCCTTATATACGTCGTGCTCTCGAATCTCAAATGAAACTATCATGAGAACGGAGAAGAGAGAATGTGGGAAACGATGCCGAGTATATATATGAGGCATTTCATGCGAAGTGTCCTAGCGCTTCGCCGCGCGGCCCAATTAAGCGAAATCACTCAGTTTCTAACTCACGTAAAAAGTATCAAAATATACTCAGAAAAAATAACTAACTAATGATTTCGATAGGAAATTTCCTCAGCTTTCCGATGGTGTGGTCAGATTTTCCGAAATTTTCCATTTTCCCCGGAAAAATTTGACATAAAGTTTAAAACGCAAATATCTCAAAAAGCCCATTTTTAAGATTTTTTTAAATAGTCCCAATCGAAAGCTGAGGAAATTTCCTAACTGTATGCAAGTTTTCAGAGTGTGCAATTGATTATTACTCAATGAAATACAGCGACGAACGTGTAAAAACGTGAGATTTTGCGACGCGCGGGGTACTGCGCGCGGGAACAGCTGCCGCACGGGCCGAAATGTCACGTTTTTACACGTTCCTCGCTGTATTTCATTGAGTAATAATCAATTGCACACTCTGAAAACTTGCATACAGTTAGGAAATTTCCTCAGCTTTCGATTGGGACTATTTAAAAAAATCTTAAAAATGGGCTTTTTGAGATATTTGCGTTTTAAACTTTATGTCAAATTTTTCCGGGGAAAATGGAAAATTTCGGAAAATCTGACCACACCATCGGAAAGCTGAGGAAATTTTCTATCGAAATCATTAGTTAGTTATTTTTTCTGAGTATATTTTGATACTTTTTACGTGAGTTAGAAACTGAGTGATTTCGCTTAATTGGGCCGCGCGGCGAAGCGTTAGGACACTTCGCATGAAATGCCTCATATGTACACACACACACGTATAGCATAGGGTTGGGCGCGCGCGCGGCTACGAAGCCACGAGCTTTATTTCTCTTGTCACGGAAACACTAGAGGGAAATGTTCCCTCGCAGATGTATTACGCTTCTAATGCGGCTTTGGATAGTGATATTTCAACTTTTTCAACCCGCTGCGCGTACGCGGGAAAGGCACATATATACGCTTATGCAGATGTACATCGAAGTAGCCGAGAGTCCTTCGATTTCGATGAAAAATAAATTCTTCGCAATTCTTTTTCTAAATTTTCTACATTAACGTACAATTACACGTGGCTGAGCGTGGATTACGTCTGCTTCCGTTCTGGAATTTTTCCCAAAAGCTCGCTTCGATCCACAGCTTCGCATATTGTACAGACTCTCGCTCGAGCTCAACGCGAATAGTTATATACCCTTTTTCCCGAGCGTGAGGCACGAAAAAATAATAAAGTAATTATACGCTGAAAGCAAGTAGCTATATACTGCAGTCGCTCGACTGTGTGTGGCAATTAAATTCGAGGCTCGCTTTTATGTTTTTCGGCCTGCGACGAAACCAGCCCCTTTTCTCGGCCTCAGAGGAGACCAAACGCCAAAGCTCGGGATGATGTCGTACGCTCGTGCTCCTACGCGACGTAAGAGTCGTTTTGTCGGCCGCGGAAGAGACGCGCAACTTTTATACACGACAACAGAAGCGGAACCTTCGATTCGTTCGAGCATCAACGAGCACCAAAGGACGTCGTAGCCGCGACGAGACATCAGCGGGGCCGTTCGCTTCGCTGACCTTATTATATCCGCAATCCTGGCCCGGCTAAATTTTACCGGACCGTAACTTTATTTCTTTCTTATCGCCGTCGTGCTTCGACTGCTCTCTTCGCTGTCGTACAAGCTCGAAATTCTCCGGGAGTAGTTCAAATGCATAATTGCAATCTAGGAATTTCAACTTGGATCAACGATGTCAAAAATTTTTGGAAGTAGCCGATGTGCATGGAGAAAGAGTCTCGCAAGCGGAGGTGAAGTAGAGTTCGATTATGTAAGTTTAACGTACGTGACAAATGTTCGCAAAAAACTTGAAAAAAATGCAATAGTAACCGCGAAGATAAGAGCTATATATGTATACTTCTGTGATGGTGTACCGACCGCGGTCCTTATCTTGAGAAGGAGACAAAAGTTTACTGCGCGATTTACCATAAATTCGATACGGGAATAATACTGAAAATTTGACGTAAAAAATTTTTCATCGATTCTTTCTCTTAAAAAATAATGTAGTTTTTTTTTTATTATCGCGATAGATTATTTAGAATCAATCTTAGCTGACTAGGAATTGTACTGAATTGTTTTATCGCGTAAAACGCTCATACGCGTGCTAAGGAAAATTAAGCGCCATCCTAATCCTTTGAATTGTCATTTTACGATTTGTATACCCAAGAAAACAGTAAAATTTGATTAAAATTTTCTAGATTAATTCAAGTTAAGCAATTTGGTTTTTAATAAGAAGTTTATTGGTTTTCTTAAAACTTCAACTTTTTTTGAAGTAGTGAAATTGAAAAACATCGAAGTAATCTAAAATATGATGATAATTGTTTTTTTACAAAATTGAATAAACATTACATACATTTTGTTTATCATAATGCGTGAATGAAGCTCTGTATTAATGACAGTTTTGAGCCTTGTCTCAATGTTTTCTCGTGGTGCATTGTTAGTTGTCGTTTTAAAATATTTTGCGGACATTTTTTTTCTGCATTGATCTCATGCACAACTTTGACGTGTTTATTCAGATAACCCATTATTATCATGCGATGCTTCGACATGTTTCTTGAGAGTACTTTTTAGCGCAAACGTTTTACCGCATGTATTACATGCGTGAGTTATTTTATTATGGATTGAATCCACGTGGATTTTCAGTTTATCCTTTCGTGAAAATGTCTTGCCGCACGTATTACATGGGTAAGTGATCTTATTATGCATTGACTCCATGTGCCTTTTAAGACTATCCTTAAATAAAAATGTCTTTCCACATATTTTGCATATAGGTGTCATACCATTATGAATCACATCGATGTGGATTTTGAGCTTTCCTTTTTGTGTGAATGTCTTTCCACACGTACCACACGCATGTTTAACACCATTATGTCCATCGATATGCCTCTTGAGATCTCCTTTTTGTGTGAATGTCTTTTCACATACTTCGCATTTAAGTGCCATACCATTATGTATCGCATCGATGTGGATTTTGAGAGTATATTTGTGTGTGAATGTCTTTCCACACGTATCACACGCATGTTTAACACCATTATGAGCTGCATTGATGTGAATGTTGAGAATTCCTTTTTGTGTGAATGTTTTTCCACATGTAACACACGTATGCTTAACACCATTATGTACTGAATCGATGTGGACCTTGAGATATCTTTTTTGTGTGAATGTCTTTTCACATATACCACACGCATGTTTAACACCATTATGAGCTGCATTGATGTGAATTTTGAGCATTCCTTTTTGTGTGAATGTTTTTCCACGTGTAACACACGTATGCTTAACACCATTATGTACTGAATCGATGTGGACCTTGAGATTATCTTTTTGTGTAAATTTTTCACCGCATATTTTACATGGATGTTTGGCAAGATTGCGTAATTTATCAGTGCGGGTTTTGCATTGACTTTTTTGAGCAAATGTTTTTTCATTTGCATCAAATGCATCACTGAGTTCATCATCCAAATTTAATTCTTCTTTTACTTCGTCGACAATTTCTTCTTTAATTTTCTTTTGAGTCTGATAATCGCAACTATTTTTCATATGCTGCAAATGATCTGGATATTCATCCTCGATTTTCTTGACTACTAATAAGTTAATGCCGAGCTTCTCGTCCTTACATTCGAATTCTATTTCCAAATCGTTATTAGGTCCAGAATTTTCATCATATTCTCGAAGCTCATGAATCTGGAAATGAGATTAGTAAAAATACTTGATAAAAATACTGACTAAACAGTCCCCCATCAACACTTACTAAATTTTCTCGACAAAAACTCGAGAATTCGTCGGTTTTAGCATCGCGTGCATTGTCAATTATCATATAATCTTCATTTTCAATTGGGAAAACATCATTTAGTTCCTCCTTCACTCTGCAATATTCACATTGAAATTAAGTATAATACTAAAATTTTTTTAAAATAATATTCTCGAGAAATAAAAATTACCTGAAATCAGAGTTATATACACCACTGAATTCCATGTTTATCACTCGGAACTTGATCAACGACTAATTGTTTAGTAATGATGTACACGTCGAACTAGGTAACTTATAGATGTAATAATATTTACAAATCGTAAAATGAAAGTGTGAGAAAATTTATGTCAACAGAGCTAAATGTACTATATATTATTGAAGAAATAATCCCATTGGTTTCCAGTGTACTAAACAATTAATAATTTTCTAGTGATTGTACTTTGTTAAATACGGTATAAAAAATATCATATAAAAATTATGATTCATGAAACCCACAAGAGCTAGTCCAACGTAAATAAACACTTCCTCGTTCGAGTAGCGATCCAACATTGATCGTCCCGTGGTCTATACAATTTTTTTTTCTTCACTCACACGCGCGAGTATAACAAACTCTGCTTCTGCCTCGTACTCGGCCGGCGAATCATCGGATACGATGTATACCTGTACATCGGCGCAGCGAGTGCCAAAGTCGCGCTCGTTGCCGACGTTTTCGGCGCGTCAATAAATACATCGATATACGGCGCGAAAGGCGTAAAAGCACCGAGGAACGGAAAGATAAATAAAATCTGCGGCTCGAGCTGTGAAATTCAGCGATCCGGTACGCGTATAGACGCTAGTCCGTCAGCGTCGGATAGGATTCATTTTTCAAAAAATCCATCGATAAATTCGTCAACGAGATCGTGTATGGCGTAGTCGCGCTTGTACTACACCCACTTCGAGCATCCACTATGCAAAGTCACGCACAGTTCGGTCGGGCGAGACACTTTAACAGCACTCGTGTAATGGTAAAGGAGTGTATATAGATATATAGCAAACAGCTCCTTAAACAGTAATGTCCTGGAGGTTTGGCTTTGCTCGAGCTTCGAACCTTTGATAGATCATTGAAACTATTGGAACGAGCAGCCGAGCAAGTGCTCGTCTAACCGAAGTTTAATCATATATAGTCAAAATTATCATTTACCAACAACGACGAGACGATATCTTCGTTTTATACCATCGAAATTCGTACGTATACAAACGCGAGCTTTACAAATGAATCGATGATTTCCAGCCGATGTAATGATAATTGCAAGGGGCAAATGCGATCGAGCCGGCCACGCTGTACTACGTATATATATATGGTCATCATTTGTATACACTACATGCGGCACTACATGCAAACCCCGTCGCGTGAGCGCATTAACGACTGCCACGGGGATTTCGCGCGCGAGAGGCGAGGTACGGGGATCGAGTGAGGGTTTAAACATTATGTAGACAATGAGGAGGAATCAGTCGGCTGGGAATAAATAAGTAATCTCTCCTGGTATTTAGAGCCAACTGGGATGAATTCATTATCGGTAATTTATCGTCCGCGTATAGCGCAGAGATTCGAATGTTTTATATAAACGCGCGAGCCCGGCTGGTGCATGTGACGTTCGTGCGACGTTTTTTTTTTTCAGTAATAATTAAAGATGAGAAATTATTGTTCGCGTCATAATGAATTTTTATAAATTTTCGTTTCGTATACAAATACGATTTATCTGTGGGTTTCGTTCCCGCGACGACCGCAAAAGTTGTTTACTCTTTCAGCGGTCGACAGAGGCCAATATTCATATTATTTTGTCATTTCTTTTTACTCTCTCATTTTTGCAAGCCAACACCGATGCAACATTGATTTTTAAAAGAACTTGGTAGCGTCAAGAATCTTAACTAAAATGTAACCCAAAATGTTGCGACAATTGCGACCTTTTCCTAAATTAAAAAAAAAAAAAACATTACGCATTACATTAAAATTACACCAATATTTCAAGTCAGTTCAAGATACACACATACGAATTGTTTTTATCGCTGTATTATACGCGCAGATCGTCGCAAGTTTGTGGAGCTTTTTGAGGCCAAACTTGCTTGCGTCCCCGTGACTACGTCGAATTAAATAATATACATTCTCGGCTGTCCCTCTCTCTTTCTCATTGCCAAGGGGGCCTGAAGTACACGAAACTTGCATATTTTCGTATATCGTGCGCCTAATGCCGTCAGCTCCGCGGCTCATTTACATATAAACTCGAGCTAGGCTACAGTGTGCAGCAGCGAAAAGCGTGTATGCGTGAACGTAGAGACGGGTACAACAACGCAACAGCCGATCGAAGCGAACTTTGCGCATCGCGCGGAGCAAGATTAAAATAAATCATTTTAGTTATCGCACGAAATTTTTTTTAAATTACTTCGATTGTCATTAGATCTACGCGCTTTTACGCAAATGAAGAAAAAGAAGTGTAACATTCGGAGTTTGAGCGACTGAGAGCTACGAGAATAATGTTATGGATTCGTATATTTTCCATCGACTTGGAGTTTATTCGTACATACACGATTGCCTGCTCGACACATTTACAAAAGTAATTCTCATTTCTCAAAAATTTTTTTTTTAATAATTTTTTTTGAAAAAAATTTTTCAATAATTTTTTTTTTTTATACTTTGCCGGCTAGGGGCTACCGCACCTCTTGATATCTAGAATTTTTTGCTTCCGGCTGTTTTCATGCGGGATAAATTTTCTCGTGATCGAGCGCAAATAGTTTCAAACTTTTGAAATATGTGTTTTAGCTCGCGCAAATTATTGCATGTAATATGCTGTAGATGTATCATTAGAATAAGCAGCGAGGCGCTTTTTCTCTTGGCCCTGGAATCACTCTTGCTATCTTGCTCTAATAAGTTTCAATGATATTTTTTGATAACAGCGAAATTTTTAAGCCACTCGAGGAAATTTATAACTTTTAAAAAACATTATAATTTTAATCAAAGTCATTAACAAATAGAGCTCGGCCCAGTTTCGAACGATCTACCGTTTTGTTTATCTCTGAATGCAGAAAGAAAACTCCAGCAGCTTCTAATATATGAGTAAATCTCATAAAATTTTAATATTTTGCCATTAAAAAAAAATTTTTTTTTCAAAGCACACTCGTAAAATTTTGTTTGGGGACTTACAAGTGATTCAGAAACCTGAAAAAAGTAGTGCCCATAAAATTTGGATGAGGGCCTTCGAGGATTTGAAAAAGTACATGTTAAGGCTGACGCCGATGAACCATATTATATACCATATTGATGGACAATATTTGCTCCTAAATTTGGCTAAAATTTTGATTTTTTGACATTTAAAAAAAACCACATATGTTAAAAAAAACCAAAATGTCGAAAACTAAAATGGGCAATATAAATTGCGCCATTCAAAGTAAAACTGTTGATGTGCATCGCAAAATTCGAGTAAAATGCACTTAAAATCTACAATTGGCGCGGGCAAAGCCCATGTTTATATCGTATACAACTTTTTTTACAAAGCACGCACATCAAAAATAGACATACCACTCGATTCTGCTTCTCAAAAACTACTTTACCTTATAATTTGGTGATGATTCATGATAGGGCCTATTGGGATATTGGAATTATATATAAATATCATTAAAATACTAAAAATCGAGTTGAATTTTTCATAAGAGTGTAGAAGGGGCAGGTGACGACACACACCAGTTAGTGACATTTTTTTTTAAAGTACAATTTCTGAGGATTGTTTGGTGATGATTTGGATTAAAAAGCTCGATGGGCCTATCGGGAATCAGAATTTGAGAATTCAAAATAGGATACATTGAATTTCAAAACGCATAGGAAACGCCGTAAAATGCATTTTATGCAATAGTATGACGAAAAATGTCTTTTTTCGCACATTTTTTAGTGCGCAAAAAGCGTTTTTGGGCACTAGTATGCGGTAAAATGCCTCATTTCGACGCTGGTGTGCGGTAAAATGACTCATTTAATTGAAAGTACTTTTTCGCCTACTATTGCATAAAATTTTGTATGCAACACGTGCCCAGCTTTTTGCACACAGTGTGCCGAAAAATCGCCCACTCGTGCCGGCATAGCCAGCACTCGTGTTTTTTTCCGCACACTCGTGCCCTAAAACGCCTTTTGGGCACTTGTTACATAAATAACTATTTTTATATAAATACAAGTTTGGATTGCACTGGAAGTTGCTCTCAAGAGCAGAAAAACTTAAAAACTTAACATAAACAATGCGAGGAATGGTAATTTTTAAGATTTTATACGAATATTGTGGGGTTGACACAAATATTAAAATTTCACAAGATTTACTCATATATATTATGCCTCATAAAATATGACTTTCAATGTATAAAAGTTTTCCGTTATCGCTAAGAATAACATAGTAACCTCCATAAAATGTCGGCTTAATTGTGGGGCAAGCGCTTAATCTTAACCTCGAGGAATTAAAGGACCATTTTCAGTGGCTTAGCACACACCGGCGAGATAATCTTGACATATTATTTCACGACTAAGATATATCTCTTAGGGAGAAAGGAAAAAAGCAGAGTTAAAGAGCGATGCTCTTTTATGGAAAAGAGGCACGAAAATTCATTGATACATTGAATGCAATATGTGACCAATTTATTTTCTTTAAATTATTTTGAAATAATTTTTTTTTCTATCCTTCCGGCAAAAGTATTTTTTCCCACTCTAACCTAAAATACGCAACTTTGCCGCTAATTTTAGGCTCTCGTAGGAAAAAATAGTATCTCAAACTGGTGCAGATATGGTTTTTTAACAAAACTCGTTACAGCACTCGCCTTCGGCTCGTGCTATAATCCCTCGTTTTGCTAAAAAACCATATGTGCACCCGTTGAGAAATATACTATACTTTCGCCGTACGCGTAGCCTAGAAAAAGAAGGACTTTTGCCCACTTCTGCGCGCCCGACAGATGCAGCGGTTGCTATGGCCAGCTCAGCCTAGCAACGTAATATTTGTAATTTTATCGCCCGTATTACTTAGCCTACAATTGGTCAGAGACAAATCAATACGTATAAGAGATGTTATAATAATAACGATGTAAAAATTATGCAGAGTCCTGAAATATCATTCGCGTATCATGGTATGTCTACGGACGAGAAAAAATGTTGCGTAAAACTTGTTAAACACAAATCAAAATAAAAAATTTTTTTTTATATTAATGTTATTGATGCTCAACCACCCTCTCCCCCCAACCAGCATCAAAATTCGAAGCTTAATTAAAAAGTCATATCCTAAGGTTTAGTATGACTCGCTACGCTTACAATGCTAAAAGTAAAGGAGAAGAATTAGCAACACATGTAACTGATTTCATGTAAAAGTCAATAATAACGATAACCGCTTTGTTTTTAACACAATCAGACGGCAAATCAAGACCACGATGCGATAAGGAAAAACAAATACAAGTTCTAATATGCATTAAGATCTTGAATTTATTTTTATATTTTGAATTTATTTGAATAATTTTATGAAAACTTTTGCGCGGGGTGGAAAAAAATACTAAAAAAAAATCGACTATTTTATCCGACTGATTCACATTACACATATGTTGTAATTACGGTTT